GTCTTTACAATAAATGGTAGAACAAGTATACATCTACATGCAAAAAAAAATTAGCCTCAACTTAAATAGCATACCTTATACAAAAATTCACTTGAAATGGATCATAGATCTGGGTGTAAAACATAATATATCAAAACTTCAAGAAGATAATATAGAAAAAAATCTTTGGTTAGACAAAGAGTTCTTATCTATGAAAACAAAAGCATAATCCATAAAAGAAAAAATCTGGTAAACTGGACTTTATCAAAATTAAAAACTTTTCTCTGTAAAAGGTACTGTTAAAAGAATAAAAAAAAAAACAGATTGGGAGAAAATATTTGCAAACCATATATATAACAAAGGACTTGTATCCAGAACAAAGCTCAACAAGAAAATTATATATATAGTTCAAAGAAAAATACTGGCAACATAGAACACATTCTAAGGACTACCAAGAGATACAGCATTAAGAAATATGGTCATTAATAAAGGGTAAACGAGCTGGACATGCTAAGTCTGGAGCCCAGACTTGGAGGAAGAATGAGTGATGACTAGTGTCTCCCATTGTCTGAAGGGCTGACATGTGCATGGGGTGGGGGGGGGGGTGTCAGAATTGTTCTATGTAATATTAAAAGGAAACATCATTTGCCAACAAGTATAAAGGTATAGAGAGATTTCTAGGGCTACCAGAAATTTACCATATATTCCTCAACTGCTAGATAATCAAGAAGCAGGAATTTCTAGAGAGTCTTGCATTAAATAAAGGTGGAACAGGATGATCCTAAATTTTTCAAACATTATATGAATCTATCAACTCTAACTTCTAGGGTTAACCTACCAAAGTAGAAAACACTGAACATCATAAAAGGTATCCTTTCCTGCCAAAACATCACCTTTCACTGTGTAAAAGTAAATATTATAAAGCACTTTAAGTTCCCAATTTTAAAAAAGACTAAGTAAATAATAAAATCTTAACAAAAAACATATTGAGACCTATTTAAACCTCTACATCACATTTGTACTAAGGATATTAAATTTCAATTTAAATTACTAATGTTTAATTAAATCTCATTTCATCAGACTTAAAAGACAAAAGATATAAAAGTAAATTTCATGCAAATTTCTGTAAGCATTTTAAAGAAATCTCTGGAAAAAGAAGTGCTCTTTCACACAAAGAGTGGTAGTCCTCAAAAGAGCCAAAACATCTGCATTCACTTTAAAGCTCATCAAGACAGACTGACGTTTTTAGGAGAAGCATATGGCTTGCTGAACAGTCATCTAGAACAGAATCTTTTGTCTAGTAAACCCTATTCAAGGTCCATTTACTTATGTATGGAGTGGCTGAATAAAGGAAAAACACATATTTTTGAGTCCTAGAAAAAACAAAGAAATAAACTCTTCATCTAGCTTTGTTAAGGAGGCAGCAAAACATAGTACAAAAGCAGCCAGATCTTTACTTTCAAAGACTCTGCTCTCAACATGAGAAACAATTCTAAGAAATCAATGAAACAAAAGAACTCTAGAAAAGCATGAAACTTTCTTAGAGAACTATATCCACCAAAGACCACCTCCCTAAAAGAGGCATTTCCATTTTAAAGGGTAAAACACTTTCTTCTTACAACTTCGAAGGGCAGAGTTCAACAGCTGCGCTATATTAAACCTGAGCCCTTCCAAAAGGAAGAACGAGAGTCTCTGGAGAGAGAGTAACATGGCCTGCTCTCTCCAAAATTCTCAAAATGCCTGCTCTGCCTCAAAGGAAAATTTCTCCAAGAAAAAGCCTCTATCCAGTGCATGGGTGAAAAGCATAAAACTTAATTTAGACAAGGAAAGTATGCAAAAATGGTAGAATTTTGGTTTGTTTCTGGAAATCTCCACCCCTCTCCCAAGGAAAAATGCATTTTGAGGTCCTTCAAGATACAGCATGGAAACTATTAAAAAAGAAAAATTGTAGTTTTCAGCCCTAGCTGCCCATCAGAATCACCATAAAGCTAAGCCTCAACCTAGACTCCCTGAACCAATATACATATCTCAGGGCCAAGGCACCGCAATTTTCACGCACACAACAGGTGACTGTGATGCACAGCAAGGGTTTAAAAACGAATAGAACATGATTCCCATAAAGGAAAAAGTCAGTCTACTGAGTAAGGAGGAAGAAAGGGTCACATCTGACCAACTAACTAGTCCTAAAGAACCTCAGGTTTTATTCACTCATCAAATACTCCTAACAGACAGCAGAAGGAGGATTTGAAATAGAACTCTGCTCTCATGCCATTACTTAAAACTTTAAATCTTAAAGGACAAAAGGCCTAAAACAGTTCACTCCAATACCTAAATATTTAGATGAATGTAGCTATGAAAAATGTGGCCACTGAATAATTCAGGTAGAATAAGGTTCCATCAGACTCTTGGGTAACTAAAAAGAAAAGTCATAATAAGAGTAAGTGCTATATGTAATTATCTGACAACCTTAAAAAAGCCCAAGGCTTTAATCCCCAGGTAAATTTCGGCCATCAACAGAGCTTCCTTAACCCTACTTCATTTTACACACAGTTCTAACAGGGTTACTTGCTTGCTATCCAAACCCATGATCAATTAAAAGGGTAGTGAGACTGCTAGAGGGAAGCAGACCAGTGAAGGAAGGACCCAGAAACACTATTAAACAGCAGACACAAGAACTCAGAACACAACACAGACTGGATAGGCTGAAAGGCAGCAGAGGACAGTGAGTGTTTGTCTTCACGACACCCGAGCAAGACAACAGGAAATGGTGTTCAGTGTACCTTGTTAGTGCATCGCTTACGGATTTTGGTTAAGAGGGTGAGAACGCATAAATTTCAAGTCACCTATAGAAAGTCTCTCACCAAAAATATTTACAAATTTTACAGGAAAAATCCTAACTGGAAAACAAACCAACAAAGAGACTCGCTGTACAAAAAGGAACCGTGGAGGGAAAGTAAAGAGCAGAGAGTCTCTGAAAGAGGCATTTTTACTGAACATGCTTTACTGAAAAGGAAAAGAAATCAGGGGAGATACTGAGATTGCAATTTACCATTATCAGACATAATATTTCTCACTGCAAAAGTCCACATATTCCTTTAGACTGCTAACTCAAACTATTCCCAAGTAACGTACAGGCACTCCTGGGAGATATTGTGGGTTCAGTTCCAGACCACCGCAGTAAAGCGAATCTCACAATGCAGCGAGTCGTGATCTTTCTGCTGGTGGAAGGCCTTGCCTCAACTTGTGAAAAGCACAACATCTGTGAAGCACAATAAAGCCACGCGCAATAAAACACAGTATGCCTGTAAACTGGAAAATCTGTTGCTTCGCCGGTATGTTTCCTCATCTGAAAAAATGAAGAAGTGAAGATAAGGCAGGTCAAGTCCTCGGCACAGTGGCTAATGCACAGTGAGAGAGGAATAAATGTTAGCTGCTATTATTAATTTGTGTTCAGAATAAATGCCATGAAAATGATTCTCAACTTTCACTAAGGCATATGATGTATTCTAGAAGCGTTTCCATTTGAAATGACGTGACTCTGTGTCCACCCACACCAAGCACAGACCTCTGCTGATGGGTATGACCTGGGAACGGAGGTGCTCCATCTTTCTCCGCTACGCCCAGGGGTTAGAAAAGTTTAAGAACTTCATGTACAGTAGCCTGCAGAGAGCAAGTCTAATAATCAAATGTAGTTACTATTATTCCCCAAAGCTCTCATGTTTCATGAGTACCCATTTCCAAATAAGTTCATCTGCACCTCTTTCAATTTGAATACAAAAGAGGAGTTAGGACATTGCCAAAGGAAATAAATGAACGAGTACAAAAAAGTCTATTTATAAGACAACTTCAACCCAGTGAACTTAGACCATTACAAATAATTAGAAAAGAGTAGGTGTTCTTGGTATTTCGTATTCACATTTATGTAGGTTAGTACCTAACGTGGCTTTCACTGTTGTGGCTATTAACAGAAATGCCGTTTATGGCTTCCTCCTTTTCCTCACAATCACACATCTCTAAATATGTATTTATTCATCTATATCCCATAAGCATTTACCTGTTAAGTGCGAGCCATTACACTGGGTGCTATAAGTATACAACAATAAATAAAAGTATAAAAACTGTTTTCCTGTGACCTCACTACTGGTACATCAGTCCATGTGTGTGTACAAAGAGTCAGTGTAGGTTGTTATGCTGAGGCCACCAACAACCCAAACGCCTCGGTGGCAGACGGCAGCGGCTTGTTTCTTGGGCACTGGATGCTCCACGGGCCGACAGGAATCAGCCTCTGCTTTCTGTGTGCCACCTGCACTGCAGGGTCTAGGCCAGGAGACCCGACTCTAGTGTGTCCCCCTCACAGCAAAGGGAAAGGAGACCTGGCAGAACAGGGGCCGCCTCGGGCTCCTGCCTGACAGGCACTGCATCTCCATAACACTGCACTGGCCACAACCAGCTCCCGGCCAATGGGGCCCTGATGTATGATCCTGTCACAGGGAACGGAAGTGAATATTCTAATCTGTCACCAAGACTCAAGAAAAATATTCAGGCTTGAATTAACATAAATTCACATTTTATTTAGGTAAGATTTACAATGTGCCAGACACTATTCTAATATTTATTAGTATTAAAATGTTTACTTCTCCTAAGAATCATTCAACAAAAATACTGCTACTGATGAAACAAACCAACTAATTATGAGTATTTTTTATGAGGAAAATAAGCCAAACAATGAAACCTACTAGAAAGCACTTAAAAACCATTTCAAATTCACAAAACTTGGCTTTGATATGTTCCAAAGGCAGCAAAAGTAGCTGCCCTTCAGAGAGGAATATTTACCCAGCTTATCTGAAGTACAGCCAACCTACTGGTCCTAAATGTATCTCAAATTTGAGCTGAGCCTTTTTCTCAGTAAAGGTGTGATAACCACAGAACTCTTGCCAACCTTAGGACCTCTTACTCATCGGAGGTTCCTGCAGACTCATAACCTTACCCCACTTACCTAACGCCCAAAACAAGGAAACAGAGCCACGGGGTGGGCTGGAGACTGGAGCCCCAAACAGGCCTGAAAACACGGCCCCAGATCCCTAGTCACCCCACCGTCATTAACAGCTGCTGCAGACCCTAAGGAGCTATGTTTGAAGTGAGCACAACTCAGTCCAAATTCAGAAGTGATGAGACAGGCTGGATGAGATAAGTGTACATGAATAGGTAAAAGAAACAAACAAAAACCACTGCGTCAAATGTCTGGAGTCCTAAGAATTGCTATTTTGAAACGGGGTGCCATTTTCAGATTAATATGCTAAAGAGTTAAGCCTACTGGGGACAATCCCTAGGAAAGTCAGGAAAAGTAGGGGTGCCTGCAGGCAGTTATCAGGGTCCCCTCTCCAGCCGTCAGACGCCCCCGGAAACTGAGACTCTCTCCAGAGCAGGAGCTCAGCTACTGGATCAGCTGAGTCATCTACTGTTCAAGTAAGTGTTCTCTCTCTTGCTTGTGTGTATGTTTTGATTTTGTTTCCTTTTTCTTTTTTCTAATATATGATAATTACGTTCATAAGTTAATAGCCGTTAACTACTTCTTTCCTTCTATTGATAGTTCCTGTTCTCCAATATCTTTTTTTTCACTACCCTCCTCCTTACAAGTGCCTTACTGGTTCTACCCCCTCACTTTATTCATGTCATCTGAAATGTACACCATTTGCAAATGCTTTCCAAACATTATTGGTTCTCTTTCCACATCCCACCTTTTTAGAGCCTCATTACTCTCAAAGTCCAAGGGAAGGACCGGGCTTAAGGATGAACAGCAAGTCATCTGTAAAGGAGAAGGGCATCCATGTCTTTGGGAATGAGAGGAACATCATAAGCTCTTTGAGTAAAAAAGTGGCACCAAAACAAATAAATGTGTCATTTGACTTGTGTTTAAAATTTGTTTCCTTGACTTTTAGGGTTTTTTAATCGTGTGAAACAAAAGTCATCTTATATGACCTAAATTTTTATTTTCCTTCCAAATCTGACACATCTGCAAGCAGGTACTCTTTAAATCTGGGTACACAGTATTAATTATCGTCAACGTTTCCAAAATGTAACGTCTTCACTTCGGCTACTTTAATGGCTGGCAGACAGCCATGTTTGGATTAGCCATGCACCAGGGGGCCCTTCAAATCTGTTTTCAGTCTCGGGCAACTGTGGAGACCTTATTATGTCTAGGAGAACAAGGCTGAGCTGAGTCACCTCCAGCCCAGCCCTGAGTCACCCTGGGAAGTACTTGACCTCAGATAAATGCTTTCCATTCCTCCAGTCCCCCATATGCAGAACAGTTAACTGCAGACTTACTTACCTTCCCCCCATCTTAGCATCTATTTCCAATGACTCTGTATTATACATACAGGGTGTCCCCCCAAAATGTACACACACTGTAACAGCTGACAGCTCAATTTTGAAAATGAAATGTATTTTAATAAACACCGCCTTGCCCTGGCCGTCTTGGCTCAGTGGATAGAGCGTCGGCCTGCAGACTGAAGGGTCCCAGGTTCGATTCCGGCCAAGGGCACATGCCCAGATTGCGGGCTCGATCCCCAGTAGGGGCGTGCAGGAGGCAGCCGATCAATGATTCTCTCTCATCATTGATGTTTCTATCTCTCTCTCCTTCTCCCTTCCTCTCTGAAATAAATATATAAACAAAACAAAACACCGCCTTTATAATTACAGTAGGTCCTCGGGTTACGTCGGAGATCCGTTCCTACAGCGAGATGTAAGGTGATTTTCGCCGTAAGTTGGAACCCACCTACATAAACACCTACGTCACTCACATGGAGCACATACACAGCAGTAATGAAGTGAAACAGTAAAAAAAAAAATTTAAAAGATAACAATTCCTGACCTTTACTTGTGGTAAATAAATAATAAAAAACATGAAGCACATAAGTACATACGCCAAAATGACGGAACTTTTTATTTTATAAATAACTGGGAGATGGCGACGTAACCACGAAACGACTGACGTCGAGTCCGACGTAACCCGAGGACTGTCTGTATTCTAAGTGTGTGTATACATTTCTGGGACACCCTGTATATCTCTGGACTACCGCCTTCAAGCCTTTCCGTAACCCAATGGCCCCGCCCAAACCCACTATTTAGAATCTTAATAAAAATTATCTCCCCAAATCCTTCCTAACTGGAGTCTAACCCCCTGCATTCCCTTTGCACTTATTTACTACAACACTAAGTTGATTGGCATCTTAACCTCTCCCCTTCGCCCCACGCCCTGCCCATCAGTCCACCCAGTCCTTCAGTCCTGGTTCCCAGCAGCACTTAGCCTCAGGCAGAACGCACTCTATGTGAGCCCTGTTCACATTTAGACTAACAAGCTCGAAACAGCAAGAAAACCTAATAATCATTCGCAGATAAGAATGCTGAGTATGTGTCCGTGCTGTCCTGTTAGGGCTGCAATAAATTCAGGAAAATTCGGGAAATGGAGGAGTAAGTCATGAAGTCTGTAGTCTCAAAAAAAAAAAAAAAAAAAATCACCATCACAAAAATGCTTCAAGACAAAACAATAACAGAAACTTCTGAATCACTTCAAGGCTTTCATGAAATTCTGGATGGGGAAACCTGCCAGCGTGACCACCAGCATGACCACTGGAAGTTAACTGGAAAAATTACCTTCCGATATTTTTACCAACATCGGCTTCCCACCAAATGTCCCTCCCTCCCAAGCAGCGGGATGCATAAAACTGTTTCTGTTCAGAAACCTAATCAACACCACTGATAGCAAAGAGGAATTCACCCCCAGGTGAGGACCCGAGTGACAGACCAGCAGGTGACGTCACCCCAGGTGAGGACGGGGTGAGGACCAGCAGGTGACGTCACCCCCAGGTGAGGAGGGGGTGACAGACCAGCAGGTGACATCACCCCCAGGTAAGGACGGGGTGACAGACCAGCAGGTGACGCAACCCCCAGGTGAGGATGGGGTGAGGATCAGCAGGTGACGTCACCCCCAGGTGAGGATGGGGTGAGGAACAGCAGGTGACGTCACCCCCAGGTAAGGATGGGGTAAGGACCAGCAGGTGACGTCACGCCCAGGTGAGGACGGGGTGAGGACCAGCAGGTGACGTCACCCCCAGGTGAGGACGGGGTCACAGACCAGCAGGTGACGTCACCCCCAGGTAAGGACGCGGTGACGGCCAACGGGTGACGTCACCCCCAGGTGAGGACGGGGTGAGGACCAGCAGGTGAGAAACGGAGGTGCGGGAGGCGGGGAGCCTCCGCCCCTTCTCTGGGCTCCGCAGACCAGCCCAGCGACCACAGGATACACGCCCCCTGGAACCCGGGCGCCCCCGTCCGCCCGCCCCGCCCCGCCCGGCTCCCCGCGGCCTCCCCGCAGCGCCCGCCTCTCCCGAGGCCTTGGCCGGGGCCCCGCCGCAGAGACCCGCCGCGGCGAGGGGACGCCGAGAAGCCGGCAGAAGGAGCCCGCCGGTCCTCTTACCTGGTTGGAGTCCGGAGAGCGGAGGCAGCCGCCGCGGCCGCGGCCCTGCGGTCCCACAGCGCGCGCCGCAGCGCCTCTGACATTGAGATCGCCGCCATCTTACCCCCCCCGGAACACAGAAGGGGCGCCTCGAGGGACACGCCTCCTCCGACTCGAGTCGCGAGCGCGGAGGTGGGCTGGCAGCAAAGGATCGGGCTAGCGCTGTGGGCGGGGCTAGCGCGGCGGGCGGGGCTAGCGCGGCGGGCTTGGGTGGGGTCTCCCGCTGGGTGCGGGTTGGAACAGAGGTGGGAGGCTGGTGGGAGGAAGATGCACAGCTGCTTTAAGTGTGGACAGTACCCCCTGAAAGTACAACTGTTTGTATTTAATGAAAAGACCAAAAGAAAATGCTTGAACTTAAACACTTGCAACTCATAATTTTTTCAAAGGGCACGGAATAGTTGGGGCAGAGCCAGAAGGCCCTTTTTGACCTTGAGAACCTAAAGCAGCACCTTTGCAAAGTGTGGCCAGGTTGAGTTCGCAGGCTCCGGGCCCGGGCTGTGTTCGGAGTGATGGGCAGTCATCGTGACGGTCCTAGTTTTCCAGACGTGGCCTGGCACAGGCTTATTATTATTATGACTACGATTGTTTGATGCGTGGATTTATAGGAAAAGCTCAAGGAACATAACGTTTGATGTCACTGTATTCCCAGTAATTTCTGAATGTGTGATCATAATCCACAGACACCAAGAATATTAATGCTCCATCCATATAAAATAAAAAAATTATCTTCTGAGACACGTGTTGGAAACATGTTTGTCGCATGAGCTACTGACCTTATGAACGATAATTATATAAAATAAAAAGCAGGTTCGCTTGTGGTTTGGGGTTTTCAAAGAGATCTTTAAAAAAAAAAAATAGAACGCTGCTGCGAGTTTAGAATTAAGCCCAGAGAAACATAACCTTTATTAAAAGAATAGGATTAACAGCAGGAGGGGGATGACTGGCTTCCGCAGTGTGGCCAATTGAAAGAAAACATAGTACATCAAGAAAAGGGGGAAGAAAGAGATTCAGCAACATAGCGCCAAAGACAGAAAGCCAAGTCCTGGGGAGGTTAAAATGCACAGAAAGATAAAGGAAGGCGAGGGAGAGGTGTCTCTGGGAATTTTCTTTAAAACCTTTTATTTCGAAATAAATTATAGATTTCATGAAAAAGCTGCAAGAACCGTACAGAGGGGTGTGCTCACCCAGTTTCTCCCATGGTTACATCTTAAATAACTCTACTAGGATATCAAAGCCGCGAACCTGATGTTGAAATCAAGTCCACTACTGTACGCTGTTTCCATTTTTACAATTTTGAGATTTCAAGGAGATGTCAGTGGACGCACGCTGAGTGACTTCTTCAGATTGGCTCCATCGTTCAGCATAATGGCCTGAGATCCACCCAAGTTATTTCATGTATCAACAGCTCCTTCCTTTTTATTGCTGAGGAGCATGTCACGGTATGTTAATCAGGATTTCCCAGAAAAACAAAGCCGATGGGATAAAGACAAAGTCCCTTAACCTCATTTGCCGGGCTCCATGTGGTCTGTCCCCGCCCCCTTCTCTCCAGCCACTGACTGTCTTTCTGTCCTGCCCTGGAGCCTTCCGCAGCTTTTGCCTGCTGGCAGGACCTTCAGGTCTCTTATCTACTCAGCCTCCTGGCCCTGAAGATCACAGCTGGGAGCCACTCCCCGGTGGCAGAATCTGTAGGTATCTTACAGGCAGGCGTTTCCCACCTACCCCTTCCCTGCTGACAGGGCCGGACTCCTACAGACACTAAACATGTCCTACGCTGGCTTTCCCACCAGCTCTTGCAGCTATGCTTCAGAACAAAAGGGGCCCGCAAGAGAAATGCCTCGTCCTGCCTCAGGACGCAGTTGTGTGAGGACACAATGCCCTGGCATCTTCTCAGCAGGAGGGCGCCAGCATGAGAGCCTGGCCAGCAGGACAGGCAGGGAGAGCAGAGCGGGAAAGAGCCCAGGTCTTTAATGGTAGCGTTGACCTTCTGAACCAACCAACCCTGATCAAAATACCTCCAGGATCCTTGTTATAAGAAATGAGGGGCTTGGTTGGCTAAGCCTCTATTTGTTAGATATCCTGCAGCAAACATGTCTTCACCGATGCTCTTACACAAGGAATACTTCTCTGGCTCCCCTGCCCACGTCGACTCCTCTTCTGTAGACCCACCTGCGCTCTGTCTTTCTCCTTCAGAGCACCCCCCCAGGTGAATTTTTTCACGCTGCATTTTAATGCAATGCCATCATCTCTTTCTGCAAAATGGAAGGTAAGTTCTCTGAAGACAGAGGTCATATATGTTTTTGCTGATCATTTTCCCAGTACCTAGCCTCGTCCCTGACACATAATAGGCTCCCAGGAAGGTGTAGAATGAGTGAATGGATGGATGGATGA